ACTTTGCAAAGTATATCTATGTCAAAAGTATTTTTGTATAGGACACTGAATAGGGCTATATAGAGCAGGACCTTAGTCTCGCTTGTTTGTCCTATATAATCAGAGTAGAAACAACAGGCACGGCCAGAGGATGATTCCAGAACACCTCATTAGGGTGCCGGTATAAATAAGCCTTTAGAGGTGCTGTCTGTAGAGGGTCACTCTGTGTTTCCAGTTAATTTTTGTGAATTCCTCTTGTCACCTTTCAGTGGAACTTATTTCCTGGTTTTGCTGCTTTTTCCATTTGAAAGTGAAGCTTTCGCAGAGACCTGACACAAACCCCAAACTACCCTGGTGCTCCAAAGATCAGAAGGAAATTTTTATCAACCAAAACTTCAGCCCAGTGGATAAAACAGATTTCAAAAATCTATCTAAGAATAAATAATATTTAATGTCATTACAGACTACACTAAATAAATGCATTTTGTACTTGCTGCTGAATTTCTGAAAAAAATGTCTTTGTGTATCTACATGCTAGATTACATTATCATACTCAGGGAACAGTTGTCTTAAAAAACACTGTTCTTACACAGTGACATAGAAGGTATCAAATTTGGTTACTGTACCTGTACTATGAGTGCATAATTTCAAGGCTGAAAGAGGTTGAGCTAAACCTCTGAAGCTGAGTGTATTTAAATCTATACTATCTTACATACTGACAAAGTGACACATAAGTGAGCACTGAGATTACTCACTCGATGTATGGGCTTTGCCAAACTCAAGGTCTCAATGGCAGGAAGAAAAAAATATTACTCCCTTGTCAACTTTGATTACACAACAAAGAAAATAATGAAACATAGCATATGTTGTCTGGTAAATTTTAGAAACAACAGCTTTCAGCTCTTCATGCTTTAATTTTGTGCTCAAATGTATCTCAGCTGCGGATGTTCAGAAAGCTGCTTCTTCCTTTAGTACTGCTCTCCTGTCACAACATTTCTAAGAGGAAAATGTAGGTATCACAGTCTTGCAATGAGTGAAGGTGTTAGAAGTTACAGCACCTACAGTCACAGATATTATGAAAAAATATGCTGTTTAATAAAGTTATTTTTCCCCGTATGTACCAATAAAGTATTTTGAACCACATCTGAAAAATTGCTTTGAAAACATCTGGACGAACTTAAAACTATTTAATTAAAAAAAGCGCTGGAGACTGCAGGACATTTCCTTCTGTGTTTTAGATCTGTTATCTAGTGATTCTCTCTCGGATGCAAAAATCTCTCACCCAGATAGACCACCGATACTCTTCATCTCACTCTGAACCAAAAAGCCTTTTTTCAACTTTGTTGGTGAAAACCCAGCTATTAATTTAGGTTTTATTCAACAGAGCCCTTAAACAAGGTTCAGACACTTGCTTTAATGTTTTAGTTCATTAGGGGCATTAAGAAACATACATTACTATATTGTGTTAAGTAATGTAAGTAATTTCAGTGTGTCCGTGATGCTTCTCCACAACAAGATTGTCTATAGGTCAACAAAAATACCTGTACTTTGCAGGTCACAGAAAAAAATCTTTACATCCTAAGAAAATTACACCGGAATAAGATATGTAAGAAAAAGTATGTCCTCTATTACATAAACTCCTTAATTTAAAAAACTAATTTATCACTTATGTTTATCAGACAAATGACACATAGACCGGATTTTTGGCTAGACCACTAGTACTGCTTTATTGTCCCTACAAAGGTATGAGAAAACCTATTTATATAAGCACTATAAAATTCTTACAAGCCGAACATGCATTTCACGCAGCAGAGCAGAGTGACTCCAGCAGATCTCCCAGATGAGAACGCTGGCTCAGCTCGGTCCCAGTTCTTGCACACAGGTCTTTTCTGTACTTAGCTTCTGCACACAGAGGAGACAGAGTTTGACAAGTGAGGCTCAACTTTCAGAAGTTATATGCTTTCAGAAATGTATTTTCACTGAAATGATAAACTGTGTTCTCAACTAAGTTGATTTTCACTGTCATGGAAGTGACTTTTTCAAGGACAATAGTTGTTATAATGCATTTAAAGCAAAAAAAATGGCTAGGAGGATTTCTTAGGCATGCTGCTTACAAGCATGATTTAACTTTGCATAGTAGTAATACATATTTACAAGTGCCAGATTTTCAATTTATAAATATTTATCATAAGGACATGATTTTATCTTTAATTAGCCCAACTGTTAAGGACACTTCTAATGTGAGAAATGTAATTCAGTATTTCGTACCAGATGTAGCCTCTACAGCTAGTCTTTCATCTCTGCTTGTAACAAGCGGATACTTAAACCAAAATCATTATGTAATAGATTAAGTGATTAGAAAAGAATAACTGCAGAAGAGCTGGGCTTTGAATTTAAAATAATAGTTTTCTGAAGGTGCATGCCTCACACTGAAGCACCTGTGCAATATCCCCATACTTTAAGTATCTGATGTATTTCCTACACGTACCCATATGGATTTCTTTGTTCATGGAAAGACCTGCATTACTCGATTGTCCTTCCTTTCCTGTCTCTGTGTTTGACACTACTAGAAAAAGTATAAACATGAAAACTGGGATAGTTCTAGGTCTGATTCTGGGTTACCAACAACAGAAATACGATGCCCATCTAATCACATCGCACTGCTGAACACGGCAACCCCAAAACATGCAGGTTATGCTGAAATTTTTTGTAACGACATAACAAACCTTTGGACAGGTTGGAAACGCTGGATCAGAGCGCGAGAGAGCAGAAGGAAGGAAGGACTGCTGACAGATCAGGGGGGAGAAGAATAGCAGGAGCCTGGTGGACTCATTAAAAAGGCAGGCTTACTTTCTTTTTCCAGAATGAATAGTTGCACCAGATTTCTAACTGAAGTGTTATAAGGGGTTAGCCTTCTTAAACTGCAAGCCATAATTAAAAAAAACAACAAACATAGGCAACATAGATTGGGATTTCATTAGCAATAGCCTGTGTGTGTTTCAGTCCTCCAAGAAAGTATGAACTGGGGGAAAACCAATTTCATGTCTAACGATATGCTGAAATCGATTATTCTTTGGCGAAGCAGAGGGTCAGAAAATAAGTGGTGTCGTTGTGTATCCGTGCACCTATCCTACCACAATAACTGCCTGTTTGCAGTCCACCGGTAACATGTTGTGGTCGTACAAAGGAATGATAAATGGGAACAGAAGGCACCCAGTTACTAAGGAAACTCTGAGCCAACTTTTGATTCAGCTAATTTTTCTCACCAGTCTGAGTTACAGTCAACTGCTTGCTCTCTGTATTCATGTAATTAGCAAAAAATTTCATTATTGGATTGCGAATATTACCTATTGACTCACTTATTGTATAAAACTGCAAGCAAAAGATCAATATTTTAACATATTCATGAAGGAACCAAACAACACATCATTTTGGGAGGATTTGTAGGGATGGGAACAAGGGACACAATGGGAAACGATGGAGGGAAGGTACAACAGGCAGGCTGGCACAGAACAGAGTCTGGGAATTTCTTCCGCAGAGCTCTCTTGGATTGCTGGCTTCCCATTCTCTCTTCCTTTCTCCCATCATTTGAAGCCAACCCAACTTCTGGTTCAGCCTCCGGATAGACCGATTCTCCTAATGTGTGAAACGTCCCTCTGAGAAACATGGTAACGTTAACAGTCATAAATGTCACCACTGTAACATTTTGCATAATTTCTTTTTTCTCTTGATTAATTATATTCCCAGTACTGTGTGACCAAATGTTAGTAAACCATCTGGATGACAGACAACTCCAGAACAGAACTGCTTTGGTTTCCACATTAATGCTCACTTACTGGGATACACCTGTATGGCAACGTCCTTCTGCTAACAGGCTCTCCGGTGAACTAGGACCTGTTTGTAGCCAACAGTACATAAGCAGTCATTTGCAGTCATTTAGTTGCCCAAATTTCCAATAGCAATACTTCCCACTATGTTAACACTAGCGCAAAAATTAAAAAAGATATTATGACGCATTCTCAGCATGTCTCCTTATGGGAAAAAAACGCACCTGTAAATCTTGAATCTGCAGCTATTTCAGTCCCCTGGAGAGCCCTCAGACAGCTACAAATTTTGGCCCCACTGATTGGAAACAGTAGGAGATTCAGAGCTTGGAAATTTGGCTGGTTTTGGATGAGTCCAGGCTTAACAATTATATGGTAAAGTAGGAACACTATCATAAACAACTTGCATTGTTCAGTAATTCAAGTGACATGCTCTCTTATAGATACAGCGAAAACGACACTCCAATGCAGCGATGGCAGGCTGGCGGGAGATTGTGAGGGACTAGCACACCCCAGCAACATGGAGGCAATTAACAGGGAACAACGGGAGCGGCACGGAGGAGTAGCTGCGTACTGTCTCTGTCTCAATGGCATTCAAGTGTCACAAACAAAGCTGAGGGAGTTGGTACAATATACGTGTTTAGCACATGTTCCACCTGCTCTTCATCCCAGAAGTGGCCCCTATTAGTAATGGATATGCAAAGGATTTATCTTAGCAGAGCAAGACTCTCTTTAACACTGAATAAATCTGGAGTGCATTACACTCTAGGTTTAAAATTGGCTCAGTGTGGGAGAAAACAACCTCCAAGGTAATTCTGAATTCTGTTTCCATGTTTTATGTAAAGCATAAATTCTGTATTTTTCTCCTATGGCATTACCTGATGTTCCGCTCCCTATGCAGGAACAACTCCGGTTGTCTTACCTCTATCAGTACTTGAAAAATGGAATTCTTGATATTTAGGAGCTTTTCACTTTTAGTTTTTACTTTTCACTCAAAGTTTTAGATTTTGTTTGGTGCTTTTTACAGGTGATTAGATTCAGCTGATATTTTTGGCCTACGGGGAACAATGACGCTTATAAGCAGTATCTAAAATTCCTTGAAAACAGTACCATTTAAGTTAAATGTATTTTGTCTGGCAGCATGGCCATTAACAATTTTAAACAAAAATTCAAAAATAGGAAAATTTGAGAAAATACCTGCTTTGTGAAACTTTTCCATTATCTCTTGACGAACTGATTTTTCCAAGTTGAAATAATTGTGGTCTTCATCAGGTTTTCTCAGAAACAGAGGGATGTGCTGAAATACTATCATATGCTTGCATTTATGTTTCTCAGCGACAGCCAGTTGCTCATTGAGCCACACATCCTGGGCTTGCTTTAACTCAGGGCATTTGGAAGAGTCGAAGTATAACTGAGAATTCAGCACAATAAAGAAAACACCTCCAACCCAAAAGCTGAAGTAGTCATCTCCCCAGTTCTTGCAATAATTGTCTATTGTTTCTCTCGTTGGAGTATTGCCAATATCATGATTCCCGCTGACAAATACCAATGGGATGTCCTGGTCAGTGTTCTTCAGAACATTCTTTAAATCTTGCTCTTGGTCCTTTCTCCATGGAGTTCCTACAGAAAAAAACACATTTTAGTGTTTATGCTATCTTTTCCCACCCTCATTGTTAGCTTTTATTTGTGGAACTATGCCTAGCAAGAAAGTATGCTGTATTAGACGTCATCATGATAATACGCAGGGATCTAGAATGCATCTTCACTTTAATACCGTGTGTCGACTCTACCCTCTCCCTCCCACATCAGGTACTCGGCCATTTCCAGTACCCTGCCTTAAGCCAGGCTCTGGATGGGAGCCAACAGCTAGCATGGCAGGAAGTGGTAGAACAGTCACAGTTTGCGCCAGAAGCTTTAGCAGGCTGGTCCTCCTCATCTACAGACTGGTCATGTGGCAGAAAAAAGCAGCGACCTTGGATGGTGTAACAGCTTTACACAAGGGTAAAAACCAGGTCAGCTTCTGGTTTGTGTTTTACGGCTGTGCAAAGGAATTGCGGTGGGGATTTTTTTCATTACAAGAACTACTTTAACAGCAAAAATATAATTAGTGTCTTGTGGCGACTTGTTCATATGATGAGTCTGTTGTAATAACGAGCATGGCATTCAGTTCAAAGAATTGTGCATTTTGCTAGTTTTTCCCGCATCTCTGGTTTTATGTTAATAAGCATAGCCAGACAGTTACTCTTCTGGCTGTCAGAAATTTGTCCTTGTCTAGGAAGGGTTATCTAATTGCTAGATTAATTTACAATCACTGAAAAAAATTTAGACAGGATTTTTTAAAAAAAGCAATTATTTTACTCTAATGATGACAGAGGTTTTTTTCAGTTTTCTAAAGAGTGATCTTTAATCAGAGGCCACTGATATGTTTATTATTCATGAGTTAAATTTAACATTCATAAATTGTATTTTGTCCTGCAATACATAACAAATATCTAACACGGGCCCATTTCCCAAATAACAACTGCATTTTTAAGCCAAGAAGTTGTAACAGGACTTTTGTAAGAACTCTGAAATCAGATCTGACATAGATTTGCATACACGTCTATGCAAATCAACCATCACGTATTTTTAAATTGTGTTCTATTTTTGTAACTACACATATATATTACACAAAGAAATGTATTAGCAGGGCTCTGGTAATGTAACTATGAGATAAAAGATTTTTTTCTCTATGTTTCTTCAAAATACTTACGATCAATATGCTGATAAACACAAACCCTCAGTAACAATTATTAGTGAAGATTTAAATGCCTTTTCCATACCCTGTCAATATAGGCTAAAGTACCACCTTATCGCCATCACTAGAATTCTACAGCTTTAGAAAAATACTGAGAAAAAAAAGATATTCGTATTATGTCTAAATGTAAAGACAGATGTGAGATTTGACATTGTGCATAAAGTCAAAATCTGCAACTCTCTTGCGCTGAACTGCTGTACAGGGTAGAAAGGCATTGTAGCAAAGTCTCTGAGGAACCTGAGAAACGCTGGGCACACGGTACCCAGTGCAGTCTACCACATGCAGACAGCAGATCAGCGGGGGGTGTCATACCAATGTACCAGGCCCGTGGTCAGGTTAGGCTGTCCTTCTAGTTATGGAAAATATCCTTATTAATCCTAGAAAAAACAGGGCAGATGACATCTCATGTTACTTGGAGGAGCTGGGTTGTGAAAAACAAAACCAAAAATTCAAATAAGCCTGGCACACCTGGTTGTCCATGGGTTAGGGAACTTGGCTGAGGACGCTGCTTTTCTGGCCACTCCCCACTTGCCTATGCAAAGCATTGGAAATGTCAAGCTATAAATATGAAAATATAAGAGGGAGGGGGGCGGGGAAAAGGCAAGGGGGAAGGCTCTGTAAAGATATATGTAAAACACTTTACACCATGTAAATCTTCATGCTATCACTTTGGGAAATTTAGCTAACAGTTTCAGAGTATAAAGACATTTATGCATAACTTACAGCAATAATTTGTAGAATTATGTATACCTCTTCCCAGTGGTGAAATTCAAGCTCTAGAGACTAACACTTAGATTAGATTTGTCGACAGCAGGGCACTGGTTCCCTCATTTAATGCGATATTATTTCTATAGCAACAGAGAGACATATTCAGTGGTTTGTTGCAGAAAACAGATTGCTCAAAATGGAAAACAAGGTCTCTGCCCAAAGAGTCTAGGAAATCACGCTAAGTAAAGATTATTTTAGAACAATTGTGTCGTGGCTTGCCCTTTTCTTGGTAGAAGGTCAAAACAACTTCAAAAGAAGAGAAACACGTGGCGATGAAGGTGGGAAAAGGCAGAGCTCCTTGGGAGCAGTGTGGGAGAGGAAGGCTAGGAGGGGCACACTCACCGGGAGCTGCGCGGCAGCCGCACCACTGCTCCGTGCCCCTCTGCCCCGAATCTGCCACTGGGGCAAGTAAGGGCAAAGGAGAGGCGACAGAGCAGGGACAAAGAGAAGGTGGAAGCCACTAGAAAACTACAGCGGTTGCTGCCACAACGTAAAAACTATCCCCTTTATCAGGCACAGAGCTAGCTACGGTATTTAATTATTCCAATTATTATGAAGAATATTTTTATTTGATGACATGTACTTCTTTAGCTTAGACAGAGGTTTGTTGTAGGTGAATAGGGAGAGAACAGAATGCCAAGAGACAACGCAAAAAAATAGTTCGGAAAGTGTCAGGGTGATGTACCTGAAATTAATTCCTGTTCTGTTTATCCTTGCATCACATGCAGTGACATTTTTAAATCCCAGGCTACAATATTCTGTCTTTATGTTAGGTTCTGTAAATACAGTCTTGCCCTGAGATAAATGACTTCACAAATTAACAGCCCGTAAAGGGCAGTTTGCCATTTATGCGAAACGTGAAAGTGAGAACTGTTGCTAGTGTCATTGCCTACAATTTTCTGCTGCTTCCCAGTCTATCATTTTTGAAAGCTGAGTGATGCGAACGGGAGCATAAAGGTGCCAACTCAGTGTCTCTGTTGCAGTCCGTCTTTCGGTTGTACGTTGTATCACTCTCTGCCTAAACACTCCCAATAGTCTTTCCTGCGTTGCTTAAGGAGCCAAGACAACCTGCCTTTCCTCACTGAAAGAAAGATTTCACGAAGAAAGTACTTTTAAAGCATTTTTGCTGAAGCTGGCTTCAGTCAGCAGTAGTATTCACAGATTATTCTAATAGCCAAGGAAATAATCCTCTAGCTGCTACTCCACAGTTAAAGAGTTCACTTTGGTACTCCACAGAACAGAGCACCTCTGTACAAAGCGCTGGGTGGGGTTTGCCAGGGCACTAACTGTAAGAACAACCTGAAGCACCGTTTACCCCAACCCGTATCTTTGCAATGCATGCTGGTGGCAATTTTTGTATCCGAGGCCACTCTTCACTTACAGTGACCTCCACCAACATGGTAACTTTCTCCCCAAAAGCATTCCCAATGAAAAATTAGCAGTCGATTGACATCAGACCCATTTTTCTACTGATACAAATTGGGAGTGGGAAAGGGGAAGGTTACAGCGGTGTTTTGAAGCAGTACCCCCAGGCATTCCCATGTTGGTGCTGCATGAACTCCAAGCAGGCCCCGCCGAGGCAGGAGAAGCCTGCTGGCCCCTGTGAGGGTACACAGAGTGGTGGAGATGGCAGGGGCATGGGCCTGGACCTCCAATTCATGTCACTTTCCAAGAGAGGGAAGTTCTAGTGAAGCAATCAGACTTTTTTAACGATCAAAGCTATCAGTCACAAATTCACAGAGAAAAAGCCCATCGGAGGTGAGCTACTCAAAGGTCGACTACTCAATACTCCGTGATGATGGTGCATTTCAGAGGATGTCCTACCCTGCAAACACCTTCTGAGAGGTCGCTGTTGGGGACGTGGCTGGCCCAAGTTGGCTCAGCTGCAGGGCAGGACCACTGCAGCTCAACCATGACCCCGCCGCTGCCGGCGCTGCTCAACCTCTGTCTGGGGTGGGTCTTCTCCAGCGCCAGAGTAGCACCTCTTGGGTACCTGCCCTGCTTGGCACAGACAGTACTGGTCATGGCTGGCTACAGGCACAAAACCCATGGACCTACCATCTGACTAAAAGTTTGGCAAGGGGGTGCCCTAGCTGAGCCCCAGCGCATGTTTACATCCCCACTGATGATTTGCACTGCTAGGGTGTTCTCCCACTCTGCAGCATCTTCGCTTGGCTTTGGCCCAGCACTGGCACTTTTAGGATGAAGCTACCCAAGATGTTCATTTTCCTCCCAGTAGCTGCCGTGGTTTGGATTCAGTACCAGAAGAATGTTGGTAGCACTGACGTTTTCAGTCGTTGCTGTGAAATCCAGAGCTTTTTCCAGCCTCCCGTGCTCAGCAGATGGGCAGGTGTGCAGGGGCTGGGGGGGGCACAGCCAGGCAGCGACCCAAGCTGGGCAATGGAAACGTTCCGTACCACGGATGGCGTGCTCCATTTAGGAATGGGGGCTGGATGGGAGGCAGGGGTCCTCTTTTCCACGAGTTTCAACAATCCTCTTTTTTTGCGGGAGTTTGAACTTTTCCCTGAGCTTGGACTTTTTCGGGGAATTTCCGTGATATTCAGAAGTTCCAGGTTCCACAATTGCTGCTCAGGGACTGGCTACACAGCTGGTCATTGGGCAGCGAGAAAAATTGTATTGTGTGTAGCTTGTTTTGCATATTAATTACTGTCATTAGTATTTCCTTTGCTGTGTTATTAAACTGTCTATCTCAACCCACGAGATTCCCGTTTGTCCATCTCTCCTCCCCATCCCACTGAGGGGGAAGGGAGGGGTGAGCAAGCGGCTGTCTGGTGCTTGGCTGCTGGCTGCCAGATTAAACCACGACAGTGTCTCAAACTTTGACGAGTTGCAAACACATCATTTTTAAAGGAAAGCACACATTTTCAGTTTGAAAAAGGAGAAAGTTAAAAAGAAAATTGTTTAACTGGGAGCTTTTATGTGAGAAACACTCTTCAAAAGCCCTGATATGACAACTGCAATCTGCCTAACATTTAACCCAAGAGACTGATTATCAAAGAACAGGTGAGAGCTAAATTGTAGATTAAAATACTAT